AGAGTTGATTCTAGGATAAATTTAATTTTCTCTCCCTAAGATCTTCATGAGATTGAAATTCTGATGTTTGTATTTTATAGGTAAAGATCTCCAAAGAAAATGTCTACGAATTATATCTCCTGTAACTCTGATCAAGGTTTATTGCTGCGTTTTCATCATTGCAGTCCTCACTGCAAGTGTGGTTGCACTTTCTATTGTTTTGTCAGGTAAGTTACCTTTTCTCCAACCTGTACAATATTCTCCACATATTCATGTCGTCAGTAAATATCTGTGGAGCTGGCTCCATTATGTGCCAGGCACTGTGTGAAATGTTTGAGGTATATCAGTGGACAAAACACACACAAAAACATTCCTAGCAGGAATGACACAGGTAATAATAAATAAGGGCAGAGGTGGAACGGGTTACAGTATGGTGGCCAAGGTAAGCCTCCTTGGGAGTACACGTAATAGTTATTTACTAATGTTAGGTCATGTCTCCCTGGGCAGTACTTCAATGTGCCAAGCAATGCTGAGGACCTGTTGCCCCTATATATAATGTACTTTTGTGCATTCTCACTCACAAATTCTTAAGGCCAAGGGATATGCCTGAAAACATTTCAAGTAGAGTTCTTACTTTCTTCTTTAATAAAATAACAGTTCTGATAGGAACATGTCAGGAAATAGCTCCATAAATGGAATTCCTATACCCATAGCATTTATCATATTAGTGGATGGCAACTACATTCTTGCCAAGGCTCAAATGAAAGGATAGAGTTGTCTTTAACTTTTCTCTTTCTAAGACTTCACATCCAATCTGATATGAAACACTGTTGGCTCAACTTTCAGGATATCCAGAATCTGACCACCCTGCCTTACTGCACTGCTATCATCAGGCCTAAGCCATCCTCATCTCTCACCTAGCTTTCTATAGGATTTCCCTAATGGGTCTCCCTGCTTCTACCCTGGTCTTTTAACAACTTATTCTCAGTCAAATGATTATTCTGCGATGAAAATCAGATCATGAAATTCCTCTCCTACAACTTCCCTCATCCCAATCTTCCTATTGCACTCAAAGAAAAAACCAACATCTTCAACTGACCTACATGTCTGTTACCTTCCTGATGCCACACCATGTTACTCTTCTCTGTCCTCACTCTGCTTTAGCTATAGCAGCCTCCTTCTTGTTCCTCAAACAAGCTGGGAGATGCCTCCTTAGGGCTTTTACCGTACTTGTTCTCTGCCTGGAATCCACAGGTAGCCGCATGGTTCCTTCATCTCTTTCTTAGATATTAAAGAAGGAAAA